ATGTGTGTGTGTGTGTGTGTGTGCGTGCGTGCGTGCGTGCGTGTGTGTGTGTGTGTGTGTAAAACAACAACAACCACTGCTGAATTTGATTATTGTAGTCCACTTCCAATAAGTCTTTTTAGATATGCAAAAAATAAATTGCTAGTCAGGATTTTTATTTATTTATTTATTGCAATTAATATATATATTTTTTCATTATTGTTACATTAATATGAAGTCCATTAGGGATTAATTCAAGTTTAATTGTTTGTCAGTTCTGAACAGTGTTGGTACCTTTGAAAGTCAAAACACTGCTGAGTTTTATTATCCAAATCCAAAAATATTTTTTTTTGTTTTACGTGAGTCAGTGTAAACTTTTTTTCTTAATTTATCGCCATTTGTCTCATATTTGCTACATAAATTTCTGTGATGTATTTATTTTCAACATGACCAAAACTCACCCTAACAGCCAATTGTATTCAATTTGAGACATGTACACTGCCCTCTGCTGGACCACTATTGCACTGCAGGCTGTGAAACTGCTTCTTTTTTCTAAATGTCTTCTCTGATGAGAGTCGTCACACGTTTTTTTTCTTTTTTTTCTGGAAATTCTTTGCCAGTTTTAGAGAAGTTACGGTAAGAATAACATATAAATTGTTATTCATTTTTTAAAATGAATGCTTTATGTTTTGAGACAGTGCGTAGCTGCCTAAAAAATATTAATTTTATTGCAGTTAAATCGTGCAAAGTGTATCAAATTTGGTATTGCAGGCATACAAGGTGCTTTATCACTGAACAGTCATGTAACCTTTTTGTAAAGTACTCTATGTCATGCCTGCCACAGTACAGCTACGCACTATTTTGTTTATATATTAATTATCATTAAATGCAATTTCTAAATAATTTGTTGGTTCTTTCACAATAAAAAATATTCTACAATCATAGTCTTTGGTAATTTCATCTTTATGGTGTATTGACCAGTTTTTTTTGTGTGTATTTTAGATGTCAAACAGATTAGAGAAAAGGAAAGTGCATTGAAAATGTCATCAACATGATAGTAGATGGTAATTCAAGTGACTTAGAGCAGCGAGGAGAAGATGGTGAGCATGATGATGAGGACTGGACTCCCCAGGTTGTGCAAGATGAAGGAAGTTCAGATAGCAGTGATGAGGAAGAA